TCGTTTCCTTTGTGTCTGGCTTCTCATCATCTTTTGCTTCCATTTCATTCTCATCCTTCTCCGGCGATTTTGCCAACTTCTCCAACTCCAATCGCCTCTGGACTTCATTGTCGTCCTTTTCAGCTGTGAGGAATTCCTTAGCTTCGTTCAGAATCTTCCTGATGTTCTCTCTTTCCTGATCCATGTCGTACTCTCTCATTTCATCAAGGTATCCTTCCATCACAGCCTCGACATCCTCGTCATCTTCAGCTTCATACCCTGGATCTTCATCAGGCTCTTCTGGTTCTTTGGTCTCAGCCTCGGCTTCATCTTCGACTTCATCTTCAGCTTCAGAATCTGTGGTATCATCCACAGTATCTTCATCTTCTTCTTCTCGGATCCCCGAAGTTGTCTGGCCAGTTTCAGCCGACCCAACTCCGTGGGCAGACTTCCTTGCAGCATAGTCCATTGCTGCACTTGTAGATGGCCCTGCACGATCGTCACATGAACTGCAGGCATCTTCGAGTCCTTCTCGGCGGAACACCATCTGAGCCATTGACTGGGCAACCGATCCACGGTACTTGCTTGCAGCTTCAACTGATGCCGCAAGTCTTTGTCTGTACCTTGCGACCGGAATGTCCCTCCATGTCATCGTAGCTCCTTCTCTCAACAGTCTTCGGTACCTTTTCCTTGCTTCTACTCGAGTTGCATCTGGCAATCCAACATCTGGTACTTCGACTTCTCCCGGTATCGGTTCATCGTCCGAGACTGCCGTTAACATGGCAAGCTCGAGATAGCCGGTTTCGGCTTCTCTTTCAGGTTCCTGATGTTCACCCTGTTGTTCCATGCTGCTGATTTGTTTCCCTTTTCCTTTGGATTTTCCTCCTTTACCTTTACCTTTGTTGTTGTTGCTGTTGTTGGGAGGTGACCTGCAATCCTTCTGGTAATGTCCAGCCTTTCCGCAGTTGAAGCAAACCACGGACAGGCTTGAGCCAGAATTGCCACCATGTTTTCCATGTTTTCCACTCGACTTACCTTTTCCTTTATCTTTGGCCTTGCCTTTGCCTCCATGTTTGCCTTTACCTTTGGAACCCTTTCTACCTTTCTTGCCTTTTCCTTTGCCAAATCCTCCAATGTCCATGTCATCTTCACCCTTCGGCTTGCTGCCAAGTGACTCAATTTTGAGCTTCACTCCAACTCGCGTCTCAAGGTAGCTGGCGAGTTCGGCATGCATGTCATCGAAGTCCAAGAAACGACTTCTGTTAAGTTGTAGGTGTCTTTCGACCTCTGGAGGGCACATGGACTCCAAGATCGACATCTTGATGTCCTGAGCTATGCTCTGTCTATTTCCTGCGCTGTCCTTTCTGCTCTCGTAGCGGTTCACAAGTTCCATCCATCCTTCAATCTCCTTATCCTTCAGGTCATCCACTGGACTAGCCGTGCCCACGCCGAAAGCAGCTTGGGCCCGAGCTTCCGTCACAGTGTTTTCCTGTTCTTCACACCAATTCAGCACTTGCTCCATTTCCGGGAACACTGAAAACATGAATGACTCTGTCTTGATTCTCCATCTGAGGTAGCTCTCACTCTCTTTACCACTGAACTTATCCGGCTTTCCAATTCCTCTGTTGTCCACTAGGTTGATTTTCTTTTCATCTTTCTTCATTGCGTTTGCGACTTCTGTCTGTGCTGTTGCTAGTGCTTGAATTGCGGGTCCCATCTGTGCTCCTGCCGCTTCCAATCCTTGCATGCGGCCTTCCAACACAGCGTTCCTTTCTTGGCTCTGTTGGAGCAACTGTCCAAGCTGATTCACTCGATCAGCCAACTGAGCTAACTGCTCTTCCGGGGTAGCCATTGGTATCACTTACCCAAGGAGCCCTTTACCGGAGCCAGTGCTCCGCTACCACTTTCACAAAATATGCACAGCAAACAGCACACTCAACTGTTTTACCCTTGAGCCAAAATATACGTACAACACATTGGTTGTGTGACAATTATGTGGAGGTGTAAATTTCAACATGCAGAAATAAAAACCATAATATTATTTTTGCGTCTTTTGCAAACTGTGGCTACCGCAAGGGTTTGTAGTCCCCCTTCCAAGGAAAATACAGACGAGGATGCACAAATGATGAGCTGGAAAATGGCATGATGAGAAGGAGGAGGAGGAGGATGCTGATGATGATGATGATGATGATGATGCTGATGGTGCTGGTGATAATGATGGTGGCGATGGTGATGATGCTGATGATGCTGATGATGCTGATGATGCTGCTGATGATGATGATGATGGGGGTGGTGGTGGTGGTGGTGATGACAGAGCTGATGATGATGGTGATGATGATGACGGTGACGATGGTGATGGTGGATGGTGATGGTGGATGGTGATGGTGATGATGATGATGATGATGATGACGATGACGATGACGATGACGATGACGATGACGATGATGATGATGATGATGATGATGAGGAGGAGGAGGAGGACCGGCTTTCCTCCGTCCGTCTCGGTTGATTGCTCGGGAAACATGGTGTTTCTAAACATGTTTTTGTCAACGTGGATTTTCGCGTCAGGTTTCAAGCTTGGCATATCGGTATCTTTTTTTCCCTCTCCTTTTAAGGAAGGGAAAAGCAGCGAAAGCACCAGTGAAGGCCTACCACGCACAACCTAGCCACTGGGTGCAAAATGCCTTATTTGGGCGAAATATTTTCGACCATGGCCATGCTCTCAGACCCAAAGTACGCGGTAGAAGTTTTTTCCAGAAATATTTTGGCAGGAAGACCTGCATTCAAGTTTACACGTCATAGTGGAATCAGTGCTGTATGAAGCGCGAAAATTACATCCACCCCAGCCTCTGGAGTTGACTTCAAGTTTCCAGGATGCACCGCCCAAAACAAATACTGAGGCGTTCTGTGTCTTTGACTAGTTTCCAGGTCGGTGTCGAACATACCGAAAAGGTGCAAAGGACTTGTAGCAAGCGATTGGTGACACAAGAATCTGAAACACAATGGAGCACCTTTTCCAAGAGAAACATCGCAACAATACGACGCAGTCTTAGACACATCAACTGTGAAAAGGTGTCGAGAGAAGAGCGGCGAAAGAACGGAGCTAGCCATGCCGCGGAGCAAAAAAAAACTTTATTTCGAGCGATCCCCGCCATGACATCATTTTGTCATAGTTTCTGACATCTCATCTGGAAGTATATATGGCACATGTTTTCTGACATTCTAGTCTGGCATTCTATTTGACATTCTACTCTGGCATTCTATCTGGCATCTATTCTGACATCCTATCTGGCATCCTTTCTGGCATCTATTCTTTTCTCTGGCATTCTATCTGGCATTCTTTCTATTTTTCTGACATTCTTTCTTTCATCTATTCTGGCATTCTGTCTGACATTCTATTTTAGCAAGAAAGCAGCCTGATATATGCCATATCTTCCGAAATTCTTTCTGGCATTCTATGGCATATCTTCGGAAGTTCTTTGTGGTTGAGGCCCGGCGGGGAACACTCTGATCCGGAGCTCGCGGTGGAGCTCCGGCGGGGAACACTCTGATCCGGAGCTCGTGGTGGAGCTCCGGCGGGGAACACTCTGATCCGGAGCTCACGGTGGAGCTCCGGCAGGGAATCCGGAGCTCGCGGTGGAGGTCCGGCGGGGAACACTTTGATCCCGAGCTTGCGGTGGAGGTCCGGCGGGGAACCCTCTGATCCTGAGCTTGCGGCGGAGGTCCGGCCGGGAACACTCTGATCCGGAGCTTGCGGTGGAGGTCCGGCGGAGAACACTTTGATCCCGAGCTTGCGGTGGAGGTCCGGCAGGGAACCCTCTGATCCTGAGCTTGCGGCGGAGGTCCGGCGGAGGAAGGAGGAGGAAGAAGGAGGAAGGAAGAAGGCGGACAGGCTGACATAAAATCTAACAACCCTCACCTGACAGGTGGCGAAATATAGTAGAGTAGAAAGAATGTTCAAAAAAGGATAAAGAACTGCTGGTAGAAGAAATGAGCCTCAGAAGGAGTTGCGAGAGGAATGCAGTCACAGGGGGAAGTGTTGGCAAGGCTTGATGAATGAGAAAAGTGGAAGGATATAGTACTTAGTACAAGAAATGGTGGGGTCAGCAGCACAAAGGGATGGAAGAATTGAGAAGTGTGAAGGTGTGTTGCGGGAATAGCGCAGTTTAAATGACATAAGAAGTATAAGTAAAAGACGCTGGAGGTAAAAGTGTTGGAGCAGAGGGTTGTGAGAAAGTTCGAGTTGTTTGGCGGTGCGTTTAGTTTATTTTGGCAATTGAAAGCATTTATATACAGCCAAGAAAGTCATTGCAAAATGAACAGAGCTACGGGCAATCGATCGGGGGACGGGGCAGGGCCCACCCCCCTCGAGTGAAGAGCGTATATACTAAACTGGCAATGTTCAGTGACTGCAGGCAAACCCTGCCACAGGTAGTAAAGTACATGAAACTCAGACTCAGGAGCCCAGTCTACGTTTCGTGAAAATTTCAAGAATTTCGAGTCGTACAGGCCTGAGGCTTGGATTGGCTTCACCAGCATCGCCTTTTTGTGTTGGTCCTGGAGTTGATCTTTCTTTGTTTGTATTATCGCCAGCGCCTGATCCAGCTGCTGCACCTGCTGAAAGCAGTTTCCCAGCTGCGTGTGCTGATTGTAGCTGCCCCCGAGGCCCCCAAAATGACGAGATAGCGGCCTTCTGCGAACGTGTTGATAATGTGGACTTTCCCGCTGCTTCCGCAAGTGGCTCACATGTGACTGCTGGTCACGGTGAAAGGTTTTCTGCATCTTGTACATGGACTCTACTTGCACAGTGAGTCGAGACCGGCAATTTTCTTCATGGGCCAAGAGCTCTGGCAAGCTGGCGCTACTTCGGATCTGTCCCAACAAGTGCTGCCGGTCCATTCTGGCAGCTGTGCTGAGCCAAACGTGGCTTCAGATAGGAGCAGTGCAAATGTGTTCAGCAGGTACACGACACATCGCGTCTCGTAGCATGAAACAGCAGCGACAACAATTAAGGTGTAGGCAAACTTCGACAGCATCGAAAGACGCGCGAACACCTGTTTCGGCTGGTGTGTTTCTTCTGAACCAAAGAGTTGCAATAGAATTCGATAGACCAACAAGAGGAATGATACTCTGCTTTTCACACCTCCTGAAACAAGCTTGCAATGCTGCACCTGGGTTGCGCATCACCTGCTGGAAAACCTCGAAACTCATCTCATCATGGACATCATAGCTGAGACCTTCAAAGGTGTGCAGCGCACTGTGGCGCTGCGCTTCCAAAGGCATAGTATGGCATAGAACTTGGACGTGTATGTTAAAATAATGTAAAATATGCCAAGCGAATCTTCCAAACTCTGTGTGCTGAAGTTTCAGTGAGGCAAACTATACTAGACATTTGAAGATTTTGAAGTCTTCAAATCAGCAGTGTTCAAATTCCTCTGTCCTTAGGGGCCCATGCAATGGATTCATAGCAATCCCTAAAGCCACGTAGTATAATCCCAATGCATCCCCCAGTAGTAGATTATCAGCAAATGTATATAATCAACAGAAATTTTGGTCACTGCTCAAATGAATAGTGAAGCTTTTCAAGAAGCCGCTCCTTCCAGAAGCATGCAATCCAGAACTACCTGAACACAGCTGGCTCAAATCTACGCTGTGAAGTTCCTTGAAGACTTGCACTCTACATACTGCACTCTACTTGCTTGGTCGGAGCCTTTGCACAGCAGAAATCAAGAATGAAAGGTTTCATTTTTGGTGCTACTTGTACGACGCATGCTCATTTTTGATGGTTAAAGTTAAAACCCATGATCATTTTTTTGACTTCAACCCCAAACCGCAAGGTCCACAAAAAGTTGCCAGTTGAGGGCTACTCGGAACGATATCTGTACAATGGAAAATAATGGATTGATGCTGGTCCATCGGATTGCAGGAGCACCATTCGAAGAGCGTGGGAAGATATAGGCTGCTTGGTGATGAACTAGAACACCAACACCAGAGGTTCCGTTCCAGAATCTCACCAAGACTTGAGCAGGGAAAAAAACATAGCTTCATCTGGTCTACATGAGCTGCAGAAGCATTGAAACTTGCCTAAACGCTCGCAGTACTAAAGGAGAATAAACCAACAGCAAATCTGTCTAATTAGGATTATCGGAGTGGATGGAAATGACCCTAGTCACTTCACCAGTCATCCATCTACCACCGACATTGCAGCAGTCCTGGTTCTCAACTAATATCTGAACTACACTGAGGAAAGGGCGATAAGAAGGACTCCTGGTACTCTCAGAAGCAGGCCGACAAGTGAAAATATGCGGCTCCGTGTAGTCCTGACTTCTCCTAGACAGCAGCATCCAATGAAAAGCCCGATGATGCCTGGAAGGCTACCGATGATCGGAAACGCTATCGCGAAACCCACCTCAATGTTTGCTTGGAACCATGCCACTTGCGCGATCCCCCAAATCACACCAGAGACCAAAGAAGGAACGATGAGCTGCCGTGGCAGCTGGCTCTTCTTCCCCCTGACCTTGATGTAGACTGTAAGGGCAAACGAAGCTGCAGCAAAGATACCGATGAAATGGCTCAACACATAGTCCATGATGTGCTGGCTGTGGTCTGGACCAAAGATGCCATTCTTGAGATCCATTGGCAAATCGAACGTTGAGCCGAACAAAACGCCTGCTAGGATTGCCATTGAGAAGCCCAACATTGCCTTCATGCGATTTGCGCAATCTGAACCGGCATCCCCTCGCTCCCCATGTTTCAGTGTCGCAGGCTTCTGCATGGTCGTCTGCCCATCTTCGATGTCCGGTAAATCTCCACATTCCGAATTTACCTTCTTTATCTCGACCTCTCGTGCAGGTTCGAAGTCATCAAATGCAGATGCAAGGGAAAAGAAAATCAACGAGACAGATGCCAGCACCAGGCCAACAAAGTTGGCCCATGGCTGCTTCACATCCTGTTCTTTGGGAAGACCAAAAAGCCCCAAGTAGCCTGTGACCCATCCCATGAGCATATTGCTCAGATCCCAAACGGTGAGGCCAAGGCCGAGGCCGATGGTCTGGATGATGTATGGGCACATCAAATTTCCCAGCATCCACATGGCCCCACCAGCTGCAGCTAAAGGCTCGAAGGCTGGGATTTCGGCATTTGGTGTTGAGGTGAGGAACATCCCTGTGACCAAGCCCACGAGAAGGATTCCTCCTGACATCGCCGCAGAGAAAAAGATTCCATCACCAACGTCACAGCTCTTGACTGGCAGGTAGTTCACTGCGAAACCGATGCCAGCAATCAAGCAACAGGAATATCCGAAAAGGAGATTTGTCGCCATGAGCTTTGTGACTATCAAAAGCCCCGGGGTGCCTTCACTGATGAGATCCACAAAACTTGAGCCAGTGATCAATGATTCAATGATGCTACCCTAAGGGTCAACTGGTCACTGCTCAGTGTTCAAGACTCTCATCCCTTTTTTCTTGCTTGATCAGGAACGGCATTCCCAATTCAAAACTCTCATGGATTATGACAGTCCCCAATATATAATACTGGAACTAATCATCAACCCACAGCAGAGTCCCTCACGCCCAGGGGATTTCAGCTTCGGATCAACTCAGATCAAGACCACTATCCTGCACTAATTAGGACCTTTAAAAAAAGTTACTGTAGATATCCATTACAATCACAATCCATTGACTCTGACAGATTTACTGTAACGGTTCCTTTCTTACTTACGGCTTACTTACGGCTTACGGCTTACTTACGGCTTACTTGCGGGCTGGGGTGGAGTAACATGTGGCTGATAAAATTCACTCACTTGAAGTTGCGCACGCAACCGATGCTAGGCTGGAGATGGAATTGGGGTGGGGCTGGGCAATCACGTGCGCTGCAATAATTGGAAGACTGCTTCAAATCGTTTAAGACCTTAAAAAATGCTCCACGTTAAAAACATGTAGGGCGAGCTTTTGCACACCGAGTATGGAATCTTGCGTGGAACTTAAAGTTTGGACCAAACATGGGTATGTTTGAAAACAAGGTCTTCAGAGAAGGAGCTTGCCGTCACTAACGGTATCCTGACTGGCGTACTCAATATGCACAGTGCTGGTGTTGGAGGCATTATTGCAATGCTTATAAATGTACTCCAATTGAGCAAAGCCTGCAAAGACTGTAGGTAGCGAGCCAAAAGAAGAAAAGAGACGCAGCTGCTTCAAGCCCTTCACCAAACAAGAGAAACGTCTGACAGATTCAAGTTCTGCCCATTGTGCTTCTCACTGTGGCGAAACCACCAAAATTGGATGCAATTCAGGACCCTTACACATTCTACTGCTGCTTCACAAATGCTCCTGGTGGCAGTGACTGCTGGTAATTGTGAGGGATGGGCATTTGTAGTCGTGGTTTCACAGGTGCAACTTCGCAGCTGCTGGTGCCCTCTTTTTTGCAAGAGGCACCTTGAGCCATTTGTTCAATGGCGTGTCATCCTTGTGCAGGTGGCCATGCCATGTTACATGCCACCCAACTTTTGAAACTTATGGTTTCTTTGACCACATGCAACTGCATATGGAGTTATGGCTCGATCGGGTGAACCACACTCCCCCCTGCAGTTTACTGCAGTTCAGGAAAACATTCAAAACTCAGCCTCCGGCCCTCAGTAGAGCTCCAGCAGCATAAAGCCAGATCCTCAAGGCACCGGCTCCTCGTCCTCATTGTTGAGGTTTTCATCTTCTTCATCTTCATCATCAGTGACAAGCGCACATTCTACCAGCGGCACGTCCCAATCCTCTGTAAGAGGTAGATAGGACCTGGGGAGTCGTGGGTCATATCCAGAGCTCGAAGAGGCCGGCTCCAGAGCGGCAACACCACGTCGAATGATGCCACCACCGCCACGATTGTATCCCACCGAGGTAGTTCCTGAAGTCTTGTTGTAGGAACTGGTCGGGTCATGCATAGGGACCAGCCTTGTTTCCTGAGACTCAGCACTTGACAAAGTCCCAGTTCCACTCGAAGCCAAGCATCCATCCAGGTACAAGCGGCCAATTACTAGGCCAGGTTCCCTTTGGGGTCTTTGGCGCCTTGGAGTCAGCATTTCGCTGTGAAGACCGACGTGCACGTCCATGTCGTCCTCCTTTGCAGGGGGAGCAGCAGGCCACGGAGGTCCATCAGCGGTGTCAGCCGGTTCCAGCTGTATTTTCAGACCTTCCAAGGCTTCATTCCTCATAGTGAGGAAGGTATACCCGGTCCATTTGGTTTCGGACCGCACCACGGGATTGTCCCATCTGTCAGAGACCAAAAATCCCGGACCGTCATCTGCAGGGTTCACGAAAAAGGCCTTGGTGACTCTTTCACCTGTCAAAAACTTCGCTTCGACAGGTGCAGAACGGTGCAGTGGGTGGAAGCGCTGTCGTCGAGGCGCTCTATGGACCTTCACCAAGAAGATCTCATTTCCACATTTTGCAACGGACCAAGAGTCCTTTTTTCCAGTTGTATTCGGCTGGCGGTATTTTTCATCCAACCAAGGTCCATGTCGAGGCATTTCATCTAGCCCCGTACCCCCAGATTTTTTCTGGGCTTTTTCAGCCTCCCTTCTCGCAGGCGGGAACTTCGGCAAAGTGCCGATGTATGGGTCTTGCTTTGGACGACCCGCAGAACTTGCAGCATCTCCCATAGCCGATGCACACAGCAGCATCAGCGGTGGAGCCTTTCTTTTTGGGCCAGCAGCCGCAGGCATCGGCGCAGCAGCAACAGGCGGCGCAGTGACAGCAGCATGTTCAAACACCTGCGGCGGAACAGGTGGCTTCGGCTTTGACATCTTCGGCGTCATGGCTGCAAGTTTGACCGGACTACGGCCGGGGCAGCCCGTTGGGCAGTGGTGCTTAACGGCCAACAGTGGCCATGAACTGACGTCATGTTTTTCAACTGGAGAGTCACAACCAACGGACTCCAAAACATGTTGCGCCTGTCCACAAGAGTGCCAAGCCACGCAATCCCCAAATTCATCTTCGGAGGTACAATCCCAAAACTCTTGAGGGGTATGGTATTCACGGTGATCCCAACAAACTTCATTTGAGGGTTCCCAAAACTCCCCAAGGTTGTTGTCTCCAGGTTCGTTTTCCCTTGGAGCTTCCACATATTTCGAGGTTTCATTTTTCAGGGTTGATCTTCCAGGTTCATTTTCCCTTGGAAGATTTGTTGCAGCCGGTTCGTGTCCCCTGGCTTTTTGGACTTTCTTCTGGCCAATGGCTCTTGATGGTTCTTCCACCTCCCACCCTATTGAACAGGCCTCTTTGGGCGAACCTTCTTTTGAAGGTGGAGAATGCCAAACAGCAGTAAGCCACTTCGCCAGTTCCAGCACCAGGTTAGCGCACTTCAGCCGCAGGTCAGCTGCATAGCACTTCGCCATAGCAGCCGTAGACAGCGCAGCAATGCAAACCAGTGCTTTGACCTTCTTCACGGTGAGGTCATCATCAGTTTCCTCAGTTTTTTCCTTAGTGCTTTCAAGTCCTGAAACAGGGCTCGGCACGGCAGGTTTGTTTTTGGTTTTGGTTTTGGGGCTATCTTCACCATATTTTGGGATTTCGGGGTCAACATGAAAACCCAACAAATGCCAAAACTTGATCCATTCCCTTTGCAACACTATGGGTTTGGTCAACATATCAGCAGGCAAGTCGATTCCCCGTTGGTGTCGAACCTTCCAGTTTTGAGGGTCATCCCTTAAAAGTTCTCGGAGACATGAGGACCTAAGACGTAAATGCCTTGTTCTCCATCCCCCATCCGGATTCATTAGGATGCTCAAAGCGCTGGAATTATCCCCATAAACCACTTTTTCAAAACTGTGGTCAACATGCGACCCGTCAACCAAACCATCACTTGGACATGACATGTGAATGACCTTCATGAGAGCCTCAACTGATTTCAACATGGTGGCAGCTTCACAGTAACCTACCAACTCAGCTTCCGCTGTGCTCATGGTATGAAATGCTTGCCGAGAGGCTTCCCACTGAATTGGTGATCCAGCAGCGCAAATGATGATACCTTGGTGACTTCGATCGCCATTAGGAGCGAAGGAGATGTCTGCAAAGGCTTCCAGCAAACATCCATGTCGGGGTACCTGGAGAGTACCTAAAGCACCGTGATCCTTGTTGCAAGGGCGGTACACCAGGCATGTGTCCTGTGTTGTGCTCAAAAACCCTAAGACATGGTCTCCTACCTTTTGAACCCACTTTGGTCTTTTTGACACTTGACGACCCATGGCACCTACCACATATGACAAGTCGGGTCTACTCCTACCTGCTAACCAAAGGAGTTCTCCCGTGATCGCCTGAGCAGCCCTTATGTCTTCGGTGGTAAGGTTTTCTTCAAGGGGTTCTTCATGTTCGGACTTCAGCATGGGACATGTTTTGGGGGCAACACCATCATGTCTTTTTAACAGTTCAGCGGTATAGCTTTTTTGGCCAACCATCAAGCTAACCCCATCCCCGTACCTTTTTAGTTCGAACCCACAAAAACGCACCCAATTGTTTTGGTCAACCGTTTCAACATCACTGCATTTCCATTCTTTTTGCAAGCGGTCGAAAAACGATTGCCTAACCTCATCTTTTGCAAGTGCCATGATGTTATCAACATAAACCAAAACGTGACCAACACAAACATCAACACAACCATTTGAACCCTGTTGCATGATTTTCCACAAGTTCCCTTCGGGGTTTTTTTGGAGGTACAAGTGCTTTTCACCAAGATCCCATTTGAAACCCGACATGGTGTTATCCCTGTGGACAGCCCAATGCGCTGGTGATGTTCCAAATCCGTACAACGCATTGTGAACCCTCCATCTTTCCGTGGGCTTACACACTTGAGCTTCAACCAGGATTTTTGGTGGCACAACAATAACCTCCCGAGTTTCCACAGGTTTCGGTCGAGGTGCAAGGAGGAATGCTGTGCGAACATCAGCCAGGCCAATGCCCCAATCCATTTCGACCGAGTGAGCCAGTGTTGCCCGAATGAGAATTCCATCAGCCCCTGAAGCATAGAGACTCCCTGGAGCTGGATCCAAGTCGCTGCTGAGCATGTTGCCACAAACTACGGCGCGGCACTTTTTCTTTCCCCCATTTGGACCCGCTTTTCGAACAGTGACTAACTTTCCGGGGACAAACTCAACATTTTCTTGGTCCAAAATTGACAACTCAACAGGTTCAATGGCTTTCGTCTCATGAACCAGGCTGTGGTATTCCTTCAGCATGGCTTCCTTCCACAACGGAAGTTCTTTTCGAACATCATTTAGGGGTATGGTGGTGGTTTGAAGAACCTCCCCCTGACCTGCCAATTCCCCATTTTCAAGTTGCATGCCACACACATGAACCACATGGTTTTCCTTGGCCTTTTTGAGGGTTATGAGATCCCGTTCCAACCATTCCCTTTCCGTTTGCAACCAGTCGATTCGTGACCCACAAAAGTTTCCCAGATATTCATTTGAGGGGACGACATCCAACAAATCATGAAGAGAATCAACCACATTTTCATGCATCCATCCCAACTGCTTTTCAAGGGTATCCAAGGTTTCCGTTTTGACCACAACCCGTTTTTGGTATTCCCCCACATCATCATTTTCAGGGTTTTCGGGTTTTGGGATTCCCTTGGCATTGGTAGTGGAGCCCAATTTTTTCAATTCTTTATTCATCAGTTCTTCCAAACATCGGTCGATCTCATCTTTTTCCCCTTCTGGGTTTTCATGCACATGTTCAACCCCTTTTTCACAACCCTTTGAACCATCAAAACCATCAAAAACCAAAGAGGACTCCCCCCCACGGTCATCCCGTGGCATTTCTGGCAGAGGCACTCGCATTGGTTGATGTCCAGGCATAGGCTGCTTGCCATGAAGGCGGCGAGGAGGTTTGGAGCCAGCTTCTGCTTCCTCCAGTTGCAAGTGAACTTGGTCTCCAACTGGATCAGGCAAAATGGCCTCACGTGCATGCAAAACTTGGCGTTCCTTGGTGGTAAACACAAGCCATCCATTGGTCATGTCCGGGCTTGGACACAGCAGTTTGGCCTCAACAAACGGTCGGGGCATCAAATCACGGCGGTTGTGCCATCGTTTTCGTTTCACCAAAACGTTTGAGTTGTATGGCAACATTTTTGGAGTTGGCGAACCCAAAGCATTCATTTGACCTCTCAACCGTTCTTCAACCGCATACCTCATAGCCTGTGGCCAGTGGGTGTTTTCTTGGGATGCAGTATGAAGCAACAGTCTGGTACGTCTTTTCAGTTGATTGACTTCGGCCTCACAATGGCCGTTGCTTTGGGGGTCATCTCCCGCTGTGAAGGACTGCATGACGTTTTGGTGGGCAACCCAAGACCGAAATTTTGAGGACAACAGTTCTTTCGCCCGGTCTGAATGGATTCTGTTCACCCAAACACCCTTGTATTTCATTCGGGTCATGATTCGATCCATGGCAGGCAAAACATGTTGAACACCCCTTGACATGACTGGTTCCATCAAAGTGACATGTCGGACTTTCAAGGGTGCTGACAACTTTTCAACCTCTTTGTGCAGCTGAGCATCCGGATCCAAAGGTTCATCCCCAGCATTGACAGGGACATTTTTGGGTTCTTTGGAAAAGTCAGCTACGATTTCATCCCCAGCAATTGAGGGTTCATATTCATCATCATCACCGTCAGGGACCTTTTTTGGGTCATCACATGGTTCATCCAGCTCCCCCTGAAGTACAAACTCCTTTTCTTCGAGACCCTCCCCCCAATTGGCATCAACAGTTTCAACAACCTCTTTTGGGGGTTCAACTTCATCACCATTTTTGGGGTCTTTTGAGATTTCAGAGGAATTGGAGGTTTCACTATCCCCAAAAACCGGAACAAGTGCAGTGGCAACCAAGGCATACTTGGCCATTTTTCGGGTGGCTAAGTCTCGCGCCCTAGGCAAAGGAACAAGATCAACAGCCATAGTCCAAGCAGAACTACCATGGTTTTCCCGTCGCCTATGTGGTTTCGCCCCCGCCATATTGAGAACACATGTTCGACAATCCCTTAGGTAAGGCTGGTGACCCTGGGCAATGTGTTGACGCCACTGTTCAATCCCCAAACTTTTGGAAAGCTTTGGTGGTGCCAACCCATACCATTCACCCAAGACCAGCAGCGATGTGCGGAGAGCAGCACGAAGACCAGGAGCCCACAATGACCACGTTGAGGTCTGCTGCAGTCGCTCATCCAAGTGCACAACAAGATGCCTTTCCCTCTGACCGGATCGGCACCCATCAAGTTCACACATATCGGGCAGGTTTGACATGCATGTTGTTGGTTTTTTCCTAACATGACCAAACGCACCTTGATCAAAACTGAGAAGGCTCATGCCAACATTTTCATACTTGGCCAAAAACGCAAGGGTTTCTTCCCATGCCCAAAAACTAGCCGATTCATCACCAGCCCCATCAGGAAGATAGGTTTTCGGGTCTTGTGGGGATTCCAAGAAAAACCCAACCCTGTTTTTGACATGTTCCATGTGCGGCCATGTTTCGGGGTTCCAACTTTCTTCAGCATGCATGTACAACCCCAACTGTTTGAGAAACATCGCAGTATCTCCATCAGTTTTTTGTTGTTGGGCTTCAGTCAACATCGGTAGCCCAAAACGATCATCCCCATCACGTCCCCTAAGTCTTGGTGGTCCAGGCTGTTTTTCCAACATTCGACTCACAGACCTACAAGGTGGCCCACCAATGATTGCAATAACTTTTCCAGAACCAGCCAGTTCCCAGACATACGCCCAAGTGGCCGGATCGTGAACGTTCTGGCCGTTCAGAACGTCCAAGGTGACAACCTCTAGTCCAGGCGGCCATCCATGATCCCATTCCTTGGCTGATTCGCCCGCATACAAATGGATCACCAGTGCTTTGGCCTGAGAGTGACGTCGCCTTTGTGCACGGTTCCACGGCAGGTGACAACCCTGTAAGGACATGTTTTGACCACTCATGTATTTCCAAATTCTTTTTGGGACATTTGGGAACCTAGAACTCCACCATTCCTCAACATTTCCGGGGGTAGGTTCATGAGTTCCTACAGGGATTCTTTTCGCCATTTCCATAGATTCCACATCATGAATCAAGGCCAGTGCATTTGACTCGGAAACAACAGGACAACCATTCCGAAGCCAACAATTGATTGTGCCCCTGGTGGGGCGTTTGATTTCACATCCATTTGAACTCCATTTGATGACAAAACCCAATTCGATCAACCCTCGAAGTGGTACGATGGGTTCAACAGCTTTTTCAGCAAGGATAGTTCCCGTAAGGGGGTGTTGTTTCAGTTCCACAGACCCATGTGCCAATTCAACCAACACAGTTTCAGAGGCTTCCAATTCCTGTGGAGTTCCCCTACGGAGTGCATTTGTTGCACCACCATCCAAGAGACCAGTCGGCCCATCAGAGGGCATAACCCGTTTCACCTTCACCGCTTTACTGCACGGTTTCAACGTTTTCAACAAGGTGGAAGCATCAGTGATGATCCCCGACACATTTTCAGGGTTCCCACCATTCTCACTCCCATCCGTACGTTTTGACGTTTCACATCCAAGAGACACATCTGCCGTTGAGGCAGCATTTGAGGTTTTTTCAGGGCTTTCATGGACACCAGAACCCTTTCCCTTTTCGGGGGTCCCCTTACCTTCACTTTTGGTGGTTTTGGCAACCTTTTTTGGGGTATCATTTTTGGGGTTCCAATTCCCTTTTTTCACTGGGCAGTCAGTCCGTGAATGTCCAACACCCGAACAATTGAAACATCTACCACTTTTGGGATCCAACTGAGTATGATGAAACTTACATGAATCACCCCTCGTGCACCCTCTTTCGGTCATCCAATACTTACATGGATATTTTTTCTGAGTTTGGGGCTTCCCATCATCCCCATTTTGTGGCAACCCTGGAGGCCTATCAACACCCAATGCAGCAGCTTTCACAGCTGTCCCCGTTTTCCCCCCAGCGCCAAGCGACAAGTCCTCAGCTTCAGCTTGAAGATGCTCGGAGTAGCGAAGAATCACGGCAGTGTGCGGCTGGCGGTCAAGGTTGAGCTGCTGGCGCACCGAATTCAATCTGTAGGCAACTTGCGGAGATTTCTGGCTAAGGCAGTCGGAGCATTTGGAAAGGGCACCTAACAGCACAATACCATCAGGGAGAACAACATTCAATTCTACAGCCCTTTGAACATTCCGTCTCCATTGACGCAGCCATTCCAAAATCTCATTCACACTGTTACCACATTTTCCATCAGTCAACATGTGCAATAATTTGGTACGTTCAGCAGACCCTCCAGGTTGAAACAACACTGACAACCGAAAGAGCAATTGATCAACAGTCAGTTTTCGGCTAGCAATCATTTCATCCCTCACATTTTCAGGAATTGCAGCCAACAGCATAGACAGTGCACGACGTTCCGTTCTTGGAAACATTCCCATTTCAGGAGTGGCTTGAGGCTTCAAATTTAACCTTTCAAGAGGTCCAGAAATCAACCATGTTTGATAACACTGATCCGACACACCACGGACCATTTTCCACCAAGTTTCACTGGTGTACGACAAGTCGCCCATCATCGTGTCAACCACGCTGAGCCAATCACCATATTGAACCGCAGTTGCATCACCTGCCAACTTCGGCAAATCGACAGTCCTCAGAGTTTCCGAGGGATTTTCACCACAAACGCCTGAGTTTGGGCCAAAGCCTGTGATCGAAGGCGGAAATGGTGGCAACACAGGAGGTGGGGGGCAAACATTCCCTACAATATTCCCACATCCCACAACAGACACTTTTGGAGGTGAAGGTGGTGGTGGACCCGGTGGAGGCCTACGGACAAACAGTTCAACCAAAGGCTCTGGCACCGAAACAAAGGAACTTTGTGACCCTTGCAGAGATGGTTCATTTTTCATGCCATCCCCTTTTCCACCAACAACTCCCAAACCCTCACAACACTCATCAAAAACCATCTTTTGTCCTACTTCCCTTTTCGGTTCGGACTTCAAAGACAGCACACCTTGCCGAAACTTTTCCTCGGCTTCATGCAAACACCTAAGCCTAAAGAGCTCAACAGGATCCATTTCAACATACCCTTTTTGTGGTGTGGCGGTGTTTGACACTGACTGCAGTGGCTCCTGAATCCCAGCGCTAAATCCAAGTTGCGAAGCATCCTGAAACCCAGCACTAAAACCAAGTCGCATAAGGTCCTGACCTTCATAGCCAGGCCCATAAGCTTCTCGAAGAGCTTCACGTTTGCAGTCAGGACTCCAAAACGGGTTCACTTGGTTTTGGACCCACAAACCACTAGGCATTGATCCCTCTACCCCTTGGCCATGAACAACATGTTTTTCACTACCATGTTGCCCCACATTTTTTGGGATTTCATTTTTCCCCACAACATCACCGGTGACCCACATTTGAGGAGGGTTTTCACCAACAACATTCCTGTCCAACCCACTTGGCTGACCAGGCTCATTTTTCGCCTGCCGACCCCTTGAACCCTGGGTAACTTGTTGGGTCCCACCGTTTCCCTTTCCCGTGGCAACATGGCCTCCTTGACCTTTACCGTTACCATTTTGGGGGGAACCAGAGGCATTCCCATCAACACCATCACTTCTACGGGCATCAGAACTCGGTTCAGACACAACAACACGTTTCACTTCAGGATTTTCTCCCTTTACCTCGAGGTTCTTTTCACCCTTAGCAGTTTCACCTCTAACTGGCTCAAGAAAATCACCCGGTGAGAAGGACATTGGTGGACCCATAGGTTGCAAGTTAGCCAACAAGTCACCCCCAGTAACACTAGGCACCCAATGTTCCCAGGTCCAGACAAGGCACTCGCCCCAGTAGTCCCAGCCACTGCCGCATCATCCATCAGCTGCTGCAGTTGCGCATCTGTTGTTTCGCCAGCTAGCGCTTGAGCTGCCCGCCGCTGCACAGAAGCTTCTCTCCGTCGGCTCAACTCCATGCCAGGTCGAGTCACCTTGGGCTCATAACCCGTGGTTTCACAGGTGCAACTTCGCAGCTGCTGGTGCCCTCTTTTTTGCAAGAGGCACCTTGAGCCATTTGTTCAATGGCGTGTCATCCTTGTGCAGGTGGCCATGCCATGTTACATGCCACCCAACTTTTGAAACTTATGGTTTCTTTGACCACATGCAACTGCATATGGAGTTATGGCTCGATCGGGTGAACCACAGTAGTAAAATGCATTGAAAAACCTGCAGCGCTAGTAGCTTCATGCAGGTAACGCCAACATGTTGTCCTTTTAGGAGTCCTCTTTTCGTAAAGTATCAAAAAATGCTTCCAAGGCAAGACCCTTGACAAATTGCATGTTTTCCCCGAAAGCAGAATGCTTTGGGGTCTTCGTGCTTGCCGGAAGCCAAGAGATTTGATCCTAGGAACTTTCCACGATTTCAGGGTTTCAGATTGCAGCCTCCCAGGGCAAGTTTCAGGCTTCCAGATCTTTCAGGTTTCCAACCTTAGACGTTTCAGAATGGGTTTCAGAATTCCAGCTTCCACCCCGAGGTTAAGGTTTCCACCAATCTCAGGGGGTTGTTGGGTTCAGGCAAGGGGCCGGCAGTGCAGAAGGATACTTGACGGAGATGATGCGGTCCGAGTTGCGCATCTTCATTAGACTTAACAACCACTTGCTGTTGGAGATGCCACCTGGACTTTTGTGGACTTTGTCTGATTTCACATGTCTTCACGATCATCTCAAGCCCTTGTCGGCTTCTAGTGCTTGTGCTGGGATGAGCCAGCTGGGGTATTTCAAGTCTGTTCGTGCGCTCCAAGCTTCTAATGCAAAAGCAGAAACTATGTCCGGGATTGTCCGGTGTTGCAGTTTATTACAGCGTCTCTGAGCAGGGCTTCAGGATTGGGATCACTAACAGCCAAACCCGCTTTGCTGAAATGCGCACACTGCACGGCCAAAGTCAGAGAAGGTTATCAGACTCGATTCAAAAACCTTCGCTGCCCATTGCTGCACAAAATGTCCCTTGCAAAAGTTCTTGCACCTCTTTCAGCTTGTCAAATTCCTTGAAGCACTGTGCCTCTCGTGTCCAAACGTTCGCCATGAGTGACAGTAAAAATCAATGGTTTGAGCAGCTAGATCGTGGCTGTCTTTCTTGTGATGTCTTTTGCATACTATATTGTACTGTGCTATGTCGTGCCACTTTGTTTCTTCGTATGCCTTGGCTGTCTTTCGTTTTGTTATTTCTTCAGTTTTCTTCATTTTTCTTCATAAGACTCTGAAGCAAGTGCTCCAAACCTTGGCGCCAGGATCCGCGCTGCCCTGCGACACGACTGTTTGGCAAATGACACCTGCCACGCAGAGACTGTCACTGTCACTGCATTTCCGAGTCATTTCTGCTACCAAGTGCATCCATCACCTAACCTGTCTCACCTTTCCCATTGTTTTCCTGTTTCTCATGTGGATGGACCTGTGACAGTGTTCATGACCATGACATTGGTGAAGAGGATATAGCCTCATCCAGCACCACGTGCGGACTAGGGAAAGGGTATCATTTAGGGCAAGCCGTTTGTAGATTCAAACATCCCTCCAAGACTTGCACAAGACTGGACGAAACAGGCAAGTAAGAGACATTCCAACCACCAGCACAACGTGACAGGCAAATGCTTTCAAGTTGTGGTTTTTGTGTGCAGCAGGGTCCCTGCTTCTGGCCAACAACCATCTCTGCTGGCTAGACAGTGGAGCTTTCTTAGTACTAGGTTGTCGACAGCAAAAGTAGATGTACCAAAGCCAGCCACTCTCCTTGCAATTCTCTGCGCTTCTCATGTACCAAATGCATGTGGCGCAGATTTCACGAAAGCGTATAAATCATGTGCCTTGCTTTTCTCCAAAGCAACAAAACCCCAGGCCTCTGCAATTGCAGCCACAAGCTCCGGAAATCCCTCCACTGTCAGTATCTAGGCTGCAAGGCAAGTGAGAGTGCTCGCATTTTGTGAATGCCGAGAACTACCCACCGTAGACTTTGAACATCTTGGAACAGTCCCATGATATCATGTTGAACTTCAGTTGTTTTGTCAAAACCCGAGAAGGAAAACATCTTTCCTTCTAAGTTATGGTCGTGTAAAAATGTCGGGAAACTGATGATTGACCCATGGATTTAGGGTTTTCCGCAAAATGTCAGGGCACGCCCCGTGGTTTCTTCGTGATCTCATTTTTCGCCGGGCCGTGAAGCGCCAAGTCATCACCGACAGTTAGCTACTGAGCAAAAGGGTGCATTTTTGTCCGGGGTGGGGCACTTCATTGGCTCCGGTGTTTGGTTCGATTCAGGCTCCAACGGAGAATCAAGCCAGACTTACATTACATAGAACCCTTGGGAGGCGTGTACGTCCAAAACGTAGCATCTGCTGGTTGGAAAAGTTGAGGGTACGACACCCTTACCATGCAGGTGACATTTTTTGCACCGTACATTGTCATTACATTTCGTGGGATCCTGGAGTTCGCCGGGCATGCTCAATTCAATTTAAGGAGCATGGATTGACATGCCCACTGACGTGCAAGAAATTGTTGTTGGGTTTTTCTCATCTCCATGGGGTTGCAGTGGTCGCATCTTGTGTGGTTGAATAGAGGGGCCAAAAATGTCCAAAAAATCCAGAATTTTTGGATTGTTTTTCTCTCTCTCTCTCTCTTTCTCTCGTTATTTCAGATTTCAGGCAAACTTCCTTCTCTCTCCAGTCTCTCCAGCAATGTCTTTCTCCCCATCCACTTCTCTAACTAGGTAGCCCATCTATCTTTCCACCTGACTGACCCAAGAAAACCGGGCCTACGGGGAATCGATACCCACCGTCACTATTTTGCCGCAATATACATTACCCTGCAAAACCATACCTTTCTGACGCCTAAAACATCCTAAAACACCACCTATTTACGACGTTTTCGGCACCTCCAAGCAACTACCCCCCCACACCTCCTATTCTCACTTCGTTCGCGAATAACAACTAGCCAACTTCCCCATTTTTCGTAACATTCTTGTGGCCAATTGGCCAAGACTTGGCATCGTTTTGTCAGGCTTTCAGCATCTTTCAGCAGTTTCTCATCACTTCGCTTTGTTCTCATTTTGTAGTCGTACGCCATGAATGAAGCATCTCTCAGGGCAAGACCACAAAGTGAATGTATAAACTTGGGAAAACGCCACCAAAATTATCACCTCACTGCAGATGTGTTGAACGCCAGGAAAAAATCAGTTGAGCCCATTGAAAGTATACAGTCTACCTGTAATATACATTGCCCCGTCATGAAAAACTCACAGCGAACTTCTTTGACCTTAGGTCCAGACGAATCAAAGGGACTTGTGAGTTTGAAAGTAAAACGGTGCAACTAAGAGCAGATATGTACCTGACATGTTCCCGCGGGATAGTCACATGGATCTGTTGGCTCTCCGGAAATGACCGGAAAGTGGTGTGGGATTTGCTTCTGAAGATGCCAATGCTCGGACAGAAGCGCACATGAAGACGAACAGCAGCAAGAAAACCCAAGAAACGGCTCGAACCGCCCTCAGCGTCACTGCGAATCTATGTAGTGACAGTTTGTGGCCGCGAATTGCAATGACAGACATCACCATTTGTTGCAACATGGAACAAACACTCAAGTATGAAGAGTAACGCTACCAAGCTGGTGCAGATCCTGTAGAGCTTTGGACCTGGACACGCAGTGCGCGGAACTATTCTCAGTAGGACAATCCAATTTCAACACAGCGTGGAATTTCCTTCACATACTTAAGATTGCCTAACACATCATGACCAGGTTCTGTCGTATGCATAATCATTATATAATTATGTATGACATGGAGACGGATATTCTGAACTCGCTTGCAGTTGGATGTCTGTTGTCACATTCATGTCTTGTATTGTCTACAGTAGTTACTGAACAAGTCCTTTTCGAAGTCCACAAAGTGGAAGCTGCATGGGTGTCCATATTTCTTTTACAAACTTACAGTACAACATCTTACAACCATGGTTTCTATTCTAATTTGTTCGGTCAAGACGTCACTGCAGCATCCCTAAGATCTTGACAGACTCGAATAAGGCGAATCACTCTGAGAATCCGCAGAAGGCGAAAGATCCTGGTTGAATGCAAAATCTATCAACACACCACAGCAGTTTGTGTCAAGATCATGCCTATGCAGAGAAAAGACAGTGCCACTCAGTCAACGAAAAGTGGGAACACAGTTAAGTTTTTACATTAATCATTTTGTTTGGTTTCCTGCGGTGTGCAAGAGGAGTCCTGAAGAAACAAGAATGAGAGGTTTGCCTGCCTCATCAAGGACAAAGCGCTGATCTCCACATCATCACCAACTGCAGCAATGACAATGTACCTTGTGTCTCACTTGCAGCCCCCCGCTTTGACTTGGGACTCGGACCCCAGAAAAGAGAGTGTTGTTGGCAAAAACAAACCCCCAATATGATTCCATGATTGACTACACGAATCCAACCACATGTTTAATTGCTAGACATGTTTCCAATCGCTTGTCAAACACAAGGTTTGTTCTGCGTTCCTCCAAAAAAAGTGGAGAAACATGCCATATTGTTCATGTACCCGGCCAATGGCGCACTCCACAACAGAGCATCCAATGATGAAGGTGTCCAACAAATTGGGAAAAAACCTTCCATCCAAATATGTTTGTGGGTTGTATTCAACACCTAAAAAATCACTGCATGTGTGAATCAAAGATGAGCAAGGCATGGGTATTGCAAAAATGTCTGGTGAGTTTCCTTCAATCTATATATTTACATGTATTCACAAATGTCATGTTTGCTCTGATTTGGGGAGTTTTCCGACTTGGGAGCTGGGGCAGGAACAAAAAGTACTTGCACCCATCAACCCACACCTGCATTGTCGGCAACAAATTCATGGTCAGTTTCCCGTGCACAAGTCATTTTACAGCCAACTAGTTGAAAGGTTACTCCCACTTTATGTTGTGTATGCAAAGCGGTTCTGACTTTGGCACTGAGAAGAGTGTTTGATAAAATGAACATTGAGCATTGTTGAAATGACCTGCAAATCAAATATGTCGAAAATCTAAGGGTCCATCGCGCATGATCAACTCCACCACAAACATCACTAAAAAACCAAACCTGCGATGGCAGGACATTCAGGGTCCCAAGCCAATCATGTGGATAATCCATAGTCATACTTGTGTCATTGCGAACAAAGCACCCGGGTTATACATTTGTTCATGGAAATTGTGAAAAATCCAAAGTGCAAAGTTCCTGGAAACAAAGAACAACCGATTCCATGCCGAACATTTTGTCCATGCCGAGTTCGCAGCTCAATCCAAAAGAGCACATCTTTGAATGTATTGATCTGTTGGAGGCTCAGTTCAATGTCAACTCCTCAACCGCAAACATGGAAAATGTACAGAACAGTTGATACGGCGGTTTTTTTGGCACTCGTTGCTGAGTTCCTGACCCAACAATAGAGCACTTACAACAATGAGAATCCCAAAGAACAAGTCCGCCGCCTTAGTGATGCCAAAAATCGTGTTGCCTAAGTGGGTATGTCAGGGTTCAGTGGTATTTTTTTGCATGAAGGTATTTTGTATGACACAAACTGCGTTATTTTTTGCAAGATATCACATGCAACTAAGCACTGTACCCAAGTTTTTATCAAAGGCACATGATCTCCGTCCTGGATCATCTAATTGGATTAAGTTGTCTTGCGTATGGAACCAATCACCGCACCATTCGTTTGTCATGACATGTCCGCGCCTCGTCCGTCACCGTTTCTCGAAATCTCCTTCAAATCGTAAATTTGGGGAAAAACACAGACCGTTCAACTCATGCGGGCGATGTCAAGTATTTGGGGCACTCATTACGGGTAAAGAATTTGCGGATCGGTTCTATCCAAAACCTTAATTGTTTATGATTTTTTGTGTCCAGAACGGGACAAGGTTTCACAGTTCGTGGTGTGAATCAACCAAGGAACAAGGTTATGTCCTGCAGCACATCACCAAAGGTGACCATGAATCATGGTCCGCACCGCATTAGTACAAGGCATAGATGCAAAGGCGCCACATGTGTGAATTTTCAGAACATTTGAATTGCCCGCAATGATTTAGTTTTGTTTTAAATTTGGGTTCTACATGCGTTGTTGTTTTGACCCAATGTTTTTCAACCATGCAAAAATCAATGTTGTTCACAACTAGCACTCTTCTGGTTTCTGCCCCAACCCAACAAATAAGCAATCGCAACTGATAGTTTTTGTTTTGCGCCCAAAAAATATCATATCAACCAACATGTTTCGAACCGAAAATCCAACTCCGCACAATTCCAAGTAGAATAACCCACAACTCATCAGGCCTTGCAGATAGATTTTGCCTTCATCGTCGCAAACAAACGAAATTTATAGTACTTCCACACGTCCAATGGTTGAAATTGCGAGGTTTCACTTCAGAACTAGAAGTGGTGAGACCACGTGTTGGAACCGCTGGACCCCAACAAAGCCCATGTGTTCCGACATCGATTGCAAAAAATGACAAGTCTGCAATTTCACCTTAACAATTTTCAAAACTGGGTTTTACATTTCCTTCGCTAGCGTTTCATCAAGATAACGGCCGCTGCGGCGCGCAATTCGCAAACCTTGTGATACTAGTATATTATATTATCCACCCAAACCCCTTCCAACTACTAGACGACGGATGGCCCGAGAGCGTAGAGGAGCAGGGTCTTCTGTTGTTAGTATTGAGACACTATATTACAAGACAATATATTAAAGATCTATTATAGGCAGGCGAGAAGAGTAGTATCAAGACAATATTTTACAAGCACAAGACAATAGTTTGCATCGTATCCTTCGTATAGTTTTTCGCACACAAAAGCTTTTACACACAGACGCTTTTGCACACAGAAGTTTTTACACACAAACGTTTTTACACAGAGAAGTTTTTACACACAGAACCTTTTACACACAGAACCTTTTACACACAGACACTTTTGCACTTTCACACACAGACTTTTACACACAGAAACTTTTACACCCAGTTTTTGGTGATCGAACGTCATTTCGTGCGAAAGGGTTGCGATCGGACCTTTTGCAAATCGCAATTTTACCTCAGTTTTTGGTGATCGAACCTCATTTCGTGCGAAACGGTTGCATCGGGCGCTGGGCAACTCACAATCTTACCCCAGTTTTTGGCGATCGAACCTCATGTCGTGCGAAAGGGTTGCGATCGGACCCGTGAAATCGCAATTTTACCCCAGTTTTTTTGGCGACCAAACCTCATTTCGTGCGAAAGGGTTGCGCCCGGACGCACTGCCCCGCGCCTTCAAGAGAGAAATAGAAAAGAAGGAGAGAGCAAGAGGGCAAGAGAGCCAGAGGGCAAGAGAGCAAGAGGGCAAGAGAGAACGTGAAGATATGAAGATGTGAAGATGAGAAAAGGAGAAGATGTGAAGATGTTAAGATGAGAAGATGTGAAGATGAGAAGATGAGCAGGTGTGAAGATGAGAAGATGTGAAGATGAGAAGATGAGCGGATGTGAAGATGAGAAGATGTGAAGATGTGAAGATGAGAAGATGAGAAGATGTGAAGATGTGAAGATGAGAAGATGAGCAGATGTGAAGATGTGATGTGATGATGAGAAGATGTGAAGAAGTGAAGATGAGAAGATGAGAAGATGAGAAGATGAGAAGATGAGAAGATGTGAAGATGTGATGTGAAGATGTGATGTGAAGACGTGATGTGAAGATGTGCAGATGTGAAGATGTGAAGATTAGGATGTGAAGAAGACGTGAGGATGTGAGGATGAGTAGATGTGAAGATTGTTATTTCGAACTTAACAAACCGTGTATGCAAACCACTTACACAGGATCTGTAAAATCCAGATACCCAAATAAAGAGTATCATAAAATCTAGATACCCCGTCGAAAACGCAAACGCCCTGTCACATAAAAACAAACGCTTCACGTGATACCAGGGTGGCCAGAAAAACGAACTGACAACTAAAACTTCTCTTGACAACTGCCGCAGGAAGCAGATCTTTTTTCAGCACTGCTTTGGGGTAAACGTCTCAAATGGCTGGATCCATGCTTCCAGCTCTTTTTTTTTTCCTCTGGTATGGCCGATCACGCTCTAAGGCTCGGTCCTTACATGAGAAGAAGCTGTTAGTAAGAAAACTGTTACATGGACGCCGGTGGTCACATGCAGCTTGGCAAATCATAACAACCAAAACACAAACCAAAAACACAAGGCAAGACGCAGATCCCCCAGCCAGATTTGCGTCTCACCATCCGAAAGACAACAAAGCAAACAGCGAACGGGGCAAGAGCCCAACAAGAAAACCACAAAAGATTTGCCGAGGACACAGTGGAAAAAACCCCACTGTGTCGCAATAAACTCAAAAACATGCAACAAACGAATTAGTAGCCACCCAGAAACGTGAGACATGCGAACTACGTTGTTGCCAGGAGGACAACAAAAGTCGTGTGTATTATACACTGTTGACTAACCCAGCCTCTGAGAGTCCACTCACGAGTACTTGTTCACTTGCCCAAGTTCAGAGAAAGAGCAAGTACCAGACGGCGTAAGCACGAGCAGGAGGAATATGACATTGGTGGCCAGGTGTCTTGTGCCCCTCCCCATTGCGGGGAGCGGCCCAGTGGCAACGACAGCGCGGTCACACGGGGCTAGGTGAGTGACCATCCGTAACCAGCCACTAAAAACTTATGCGTCTCAGGGTGGATATGACTACCGTGCCAAGTCAAGAAGAATACCGTTCCAGGCACTATCAAGCATGGTCAGCACCTGGTTGTTGTGCCTATCGACATGCTTGCAGCAGCTATAGACTCATCATCAAAATATGCATTGTCTCGACGGCGCCAAACTGAAAAATCCGCCCACACCGCTTTGGCGGTGAAGGCGTGCTTATTGGGGGGCAAAACAGCAACACTAAATGCTCAATGACATTTGTTAATATAGCAGTCGCTATATCAGCTTTAGCTGGGGGGGGGGGCCAAAAAACGGTTTCGCACCGAGACCAGAATACGGTGGTGTTTTCGACATTTTTCGAGGATTTTTGGGTGTCTGAGCGCAAGAGGGTATTGAAATGGAATTTGGGATCATTTTGGTAGCTTTCCGGCAATGGAAAAACGGCCAAAAATGAAAAAAAACATTGTACATAGCAAGATTTTGCAGGGTTTTTGGATGCCAGAGCATTGAAAACACTGCAAAAACAAGTGTTTTGGACTGACGTTATAGCAAAAAACGTGTAAATTACCGTATGCTTAACTGGAAACATTACAAAAAACACTGTCAAAAGCAATGTTTTGGAAGGATTTACTGCCTTTATGGCAAAAAACGTGTAAATTACCGTCTGTTTGACTGGAAACATTGGAAAAACACTGTCAAAAACAATGTTTTGGAATGTTTTGGGAGGATTTCTTTTGTATATGTTGGAGTTGGCTACCGGCATTGGAACATGGAAAAATTGAAGAAAACACTGTAAATAGCGGTATTTTCAACGGTTGGGGAGATAAGGGAATTGGAAGCATTGTCGAACATGATGTTTTCGACCGGCTTTATGGCGGCAAAAGTGTAAAGTACCGTGCTTTGAAGGAAACCATTGCAAAAACATGGAAACACATTCAAAGAACACGGGATTTGGGGGACTATCTAGGCGTCGTTGTCTAGCTATTTGAAATTCCGCAGCTTGGAGAGCCTCCAAGGGAGGGGAAAGTGAAAATTCCATAGCTTGGGAAGCTGTCACGGCGGGGAAAAGTGAAAATTCCCTAGCTTGGGAAGCCCCCACGGGGGGGAAAAGTGAAAATTCCCTAGCTTGGGGAGCCCCCATGGGGGGGAAAAGTGAAAATTCCCTAGCTTGGGGAGCCCCCACGGGGGGGAAAAGTGAAAATTCCCTAGCTTGGGGAGCCCCCACGGGGGGGGAAAAGTGAAAATTCCCTAGCTTGGGGAGCCCCCACGGGGGGGAAAAGTGAAAATTCCCTAGCTTGGGGAGCCCCCACGGGGGGGAAAAGTGAAAATTCCCTAGCTTGGGGAGCCCCCACGGGGGGGAAAAGTGAAAATTCCCTAGCTTGGGGAGCCCCCGCGGGGGAAAACCACCCTTAGCCCCTCTCACGGACCGAAATAAACATGCGGTGTGGGCGGCCACCCCACGCGAAGCGGGGTGAATATCTGCAGAACTGTTCAGGTACTCCCAGAGTGTCTTCGTCTCAGCAAAGTACCTGCAGTGCATTGCGACATAGCAAAAACAGAGGGTCAGCCTGAAATCCAGAATAAAGACCACTCTCCCGACGAGTGGGCCAGCTGATTAACCGCTGATCCGAGAAAGAAACTCACGATCCATGTGCGCAGGCTTTGCTGCTCACGGGCGCTCCAGACTGTCCAGCAGAGAGTGCCACTGGTTCGCACCCAGTGTAACTCGCTGCAGTGCAGCCTGGTCCATGGCTCCGGCCGGCTACAACCTACTCCCCTTACTGAATAGGAAGTAAGTGCCAGAGGGACCAAGCAACAGAACAGCCAAGCCGAAACAACAACACAAACGAATTAAGAGACGAACCAACCCCCAACAGAAAAAGGAGAGAGGGAGGAAGTCAAAGTGGCGGGTGTGTGTGTGTGTGTATTGTTGGGGTCGACAGTCCTCAGCCATCCTTAGTCACCTCAGTACTCAGCGGATAGTCACACAATAACAATAAAGCTAAGACGTGGTTGACCGGTGGAAGTCAACAGTACAGGTGAACCTGTCCAGTCTGCGGACAGACACAGAAGTACAATGATAAATTAGGACCTTAGTTGTGCAGGTGAAAGCAAAATATACGAATGTACCTGTCCAGTATGACTTATTATACACTCCACAAATACGCGCGTCAGTTTTGGAACATCCAAAAAAATAAAAATATAAACGAAATTGGCATCACATCGAAAGTGACAACGACATGTGTACAACTGAGTCACAGCAAGAACACCTGTTTTACCACCGGGGAAAGTTTCTGCACCTTC